TTCTTTTAGCTGTTAAAAATAAATTCAAATGAACGCGCCGCCGTGTTTGTCAAACTCTAATTCAACATGCCAGAATAAAGCCAGATTTTAGAATAATGCATAGCCACTCGGCGTGGTGTGCCAAAATACCCTAATTATACACTTCAATATTTCATTCAAAACCATCTCAAAACGCTTTGTGACATTTTAAAAAGCCGTGAATGTATTAAGGCCACTGGAACCAGGATCGTAACTGAAACGCGCTGCATGTCTCAATACAGGAAGCGCTGGTTCAGATTGTATTGTTTGTTGTTTAAACGTGCATGTTGCATATTTAAAAATATTTGTTTAAAAATAAATGTTTGTTGTAGGTGAAGGGTTGGTCAAAATCCCTTGCCTCTTCAAATACATCTATAATCATATATCCTTTTGAATGGTTATATACTTCCTTTATAAAAATCAATAATCAAATATATTCATTATCACATAATAATCTTTATATTCTTTGTGCTTGTGGAATTATATTTTCTTAAATGCATGTGATGTAACTAACCAGTTTCTTTTAGGTGCCTTCCAATCTTACTTTGAGATTGCACGTAGTCCATGCAGGACACGAAGGCCACGTAACCCACAAGGCCGTTTGTCTCTTTCTCTGGGATCAGTAGAGGGTCCTAAAGGCAGCGTGGACACATATGATCCTTCGCTGGACAGATGGTCAAGCTATATTGAGCGTTACTATCGAACTTTAATTGTTGTATTAAAATGTATTCTTTCCAGTATATTTCCTTCCTTGGGAGTAAATGCCAGTTATCTGTTTTTCTCCCAAACGAGTGAATGTTTTAGCATTATGTTTTGGTATACTTAACTGATAATAAGGAGCTCAGACTCTCTTCAGTCTTGATGGGAGCTGTTATTTGCTAGTGTCTGTTATTTGTGTGTGTGTGTGCGTATGACATTCTATGTAGGTTCTGGACGTTCGGACCAGACACCCCGGCGCCCTTCTCTAACCTGCGAGGCCACCACAGACCTAAATCTAATGAGTGGACGACAACTATCTTGACTAAAGGCGATAGGCACCCCTATCTCCTCACATGTGTTAAATTGTTTAGGCTCTTAATGTTTCTTAGCCAATGAGAATCATTCAACCTGTAAACAATGACGTAGCTTAGACCTTGGAAATGGTATAACTGCTGTGATCTTTGTAACTGTAAGGGGGGCGGCCTACGAACTCCTGTGTGAGTCTTGAAGCTGACTTATGCTGATGAAACTGCAAACTATATTCAGTAAAACTTTTCTTTAATTTTTTATAATTCTGACTCCGGGTCTTCATTCTTCATATCTGGTTCTGGGTCTTTGACTGTATACCCCTTACATAGGCTTATTTGTAAATTACCATAACTTGTAGAATTTCATCCTTACTGTTAATTGACATTAGCCCCACTTACGTTTTGATAAATGTCACTTTGCGCCACCTGGCGGTCATTTCGCGAGCGACTTTGAAATGCGACTGGTTTATTTTTATTGTATTGGTCTGCTTTAAAAAATAATACTTTATAAGACATTTATGAGAAAAGACTATTTTCTTTTCAAGATGTTTCCAGCTGTAACTTTGAACCAATTCTGTAGACTGGCCCATATAGCATTTGACCAGGATTTGTTTCCAGGTATGACTAAAAATGTGCTTTTGGCTTTCATTTATATTTTGATTGTTTGTGTATATATATATATATATGTGTGTGTGTGTGTGTGTGTGTATATATATATATATATATATATATATATATATATATATATTAGGGATGTGCACGAATATTCGAATTTTCGAATATTCGATCTGTAATTATTATTCGAAAAATAAAATACTATTCGAATTTTACTACGTTGCTTTGCTGGCCGTAAATGCAGTGAATCCATGATAAATCCCAAGCACTAACTCACAGTTATAATTAAATGCACTGGGTGGCGCTGTGGAGTGTGTTAACAAGTTGTGTGTATTTGATCACATAATGTTGTCGTCTGCCTCGCGAAGTTTGGAATTACTTGAAAATGATCTTACTAAATGGAATTACTTTTGATCAAATTAATTAATTAATCTGAGTTATAATATCATCACCACAATGAGAAATCACATGAAATCCAAACAGTCGAATGAGGAAAGACAGCTGTCCATCACTGCATTCACGACTGCAGGTAAGCGCAGCTGGACCCCGCGTGATCCGAGATGGTAACTTATCTTATAGCAAAATGATTTTGAGACATATACTTCCTTTAGGTTTCGTTGAGGAAGACCGGTTTAAGAACAGAAAACGCAAAGTGCTGTTAGAAACTTAGAACACCATTATCTTTGTGTCTCTGAAGCGTCTGTCAGCAAAGCGCCTTTTCTCACTCGAGCATAAATTGCTGGCGGCGCCCCTGCATGTGGATATCGTTTTTCTCAATATAAACGTGAAACAATATAAACACGATAATCATATGCTGACTCGAGTGTGTGTGTGCGTTCTGTACGATATCTGCCGCAATATGGTTTAGGCGTTTTTCCCCGTTTGCGCTGCTTGAGCATGCTTTTATTAATGCTTTTGTTTTTTATATTTTTTGTTTACACATAGGCCTACTGTTTAATGTTTTCAACTAAAAGAAAAGTTTAACATATATTGTAAGCTTGTTGTGTATATTGCCTAATTGTAAGCGTGTTCAGAAATGGTGACAAAAACTTAAAAAAAAAAAAAAACTTAAAAAATAACGTCTTTTTCGTTAAACGTCATTTAAATAAACGAATATTCGAATATTCGATATTTATGAGCCCGAATATTCGAATGCAATATTTTAGAAAAATGCCCATCCCTAATATATATATATATATATACATGTAGGCTATATATATATACAAGAAAGAATGCAATTACAATATATATATATATATATATATATATATATATATATATATATATATATATTGTCCTTACATTCTTTCTTGTGTGACACCCCTGAATGAAAGGCTCATTATTATGCAGGGTCACTGTCTGAGAACCACTTAATTATTCATGATAGGGGTTGGGCCGTTCCGCCCATCCGCATATTGCCTTGGCAAACAAAAAAATGTTTTTCACAATTTAAAACAATCTATTGTTTTATGTCAATGATTAGGAAGGATGATTTTCAGATCATTTTGAAGCAAAAACTCTAGGCAACAACGTACATTAGTCAAAAGTCTTGTGGACTCATATTTAGTATGTTTTTTGTGTCCTTATTTCAAAAACTTTATTTTTTAGTTTTTTCAATAACCACGCATAAACAATATTCTCTCAAAAATACAAACATGTACATACATGTTGCTCACACATTATGGTAGTCCTGTTTGTGCTAAATAGAGTGTAATTTCACCTGTGCCATTAATATGTTTATAAGCAACTGAAAAAAGCACAAATGTCAGAGCATGTCAAAACATCTCAAGGACCCCAAAAACACCTTGGTCCCCAGAGGGTTAATTTTTGATTTATGTATAATGATATGCGGTATGTAGTGTGTGGTTGTGCAGTGTGCCTGTGCAAGCTACTGTAATGTGCCCTTCAAATTTCCCCCTGGGGACAAATAAAGTGCTTTGAAATTGAAATTGAAAAATTTCCAATGTCACTGAGTCCAGAAAGCAGGATGAGAGTGCTATGTTGATCATATAAACACATTCCACTTGTAAACTACAGGTGGACAGTAGCACATGGCTGCTTGCTTATGCCTTGTTTACATTTAGAAGGGGCATGTTGGGTCCCTCCTCTGTTTCTCCATTAATGTTCCTCATAGCCCTCCCTTCCTCGACTGAGAAGCATGGGGAGGTTCCTTTGCGCTATGGCGAAACGGATCTTCGGGTGAATTGTTGCAATTTGTTTCACGCGTCACCGCTCACGGATTGGTCGACGGACGAATTGTTTCACCAAGTCCCGCCTCTGCTCCCCTCGCCTCATTGGCCGGCCGACGAATTGTTTCAGAGGCGCACGCTCCTCCCATTGGCCGGGAGCCCCGCCTCGGCTCCCATTGGCCGAGGCAAGGGCCCTCGCCGAGTCGGACGTCATTCACTCTTGTCAAAATCCCGATTTACCCCGAAATAACGCTCCCTTGCTGTTTTACTCGAATTAACACAACCTTAAACACAAACGTTTTTTTTAAAACGACATCATTTTCTGTACAATTAATATTTTTTGCCTTTTTGCTGTCTTTTTTGTCTTTTTGCGTTTTTTTTGTGCCTTTTTTTGCCTTTTTGCTAACCTGCATTTTTTCGTTGAGCACGTAAGTCAGCATGTTTTTCCTATCTCATGTTTTGTCTGTATTGTGTATTTAAAATGAGCATATAATAGGCATTTTATCAATGTGTACTGCATGCAAAAGAGGCGGGAGGGAAAAATGGGCTAACAATTAATATATCGAGCAGTTCATAAACTTGCGATGACGTTTGCCCGCCTAAAACTTATAATTCGGCATAGTTTCATTCATGATTTTTATCGACACCCATTAAATGTGCTGTTTTTCTTTCTTTTAACTTTGTGCAATGCATGCAGAAGAGGCGGGAATGGGCTAAAAATTAATATATCGAGCAGTTCATAAACTTGCGATGACGTTTGCCCGCCTAAAACTTATAATTCGGCATAGTTTCATTCATGATTTTTATCGACACTCAGTAAATGTGCTGTTTTTCTTTCTTTTAACTATGTGCAATGCATGCAGAAGAGGGGGAGACTAACAACTTATATAATTCGGTATAAAATTTACATTTTAATTCATTTTTATCGACGACAGCCAGTAAATCCACTTCTTTTAAAAAAGAAAAATAACGTTAATGCATGCATAATTCTTCTGATGAGCGTTCGTTTGACCCTTTACTCACTTTATGTCAGTTTTATGATCAGAATAATTAACAACTATGAAAAAAGAAAACGAAATTCGTTTAAAATAATAAAAATATATAACTAAAAAGAAATAAATGTGCACTAATGCCACCGATTGATGTAGATAATGTACGTTTCATGAATATTTATTTTGTGTTTGGGGTTTTCAGTCAATTGTTTGCCATTGCTTTACTGTTGCAGGATGGAAAGCACACCCAACCTGCGTGTGGAGGCTGGAGAGCTGGTGCTGAGGCCTTCTAAGCAGGCAGCCACTGTGGATAAAGTTCATCTTTCTCCAAGTGGCTAAAGGGGTGCCCTTTGTCCCTAAGTACCCTGAGGCTGTGCTGAGGGAGGCCAAGGTCAGGGTCATCCAAGGTGGAGGGAATCCCTTTGATGACCTGCTGGTGGCTAGTCAAAGTGCCATCCAGTTTGGTCAATATAGAGGGAAACCCTTCAAATGGATGCTAGAAAATGACCTTGGCTACTCCCTCATGGTCCTGTCTGGGGATCAGCGGGAGCGCGAGGCTGGCAGGTTAGACAGAGGTGCCCTCATGGCTAATAAGGATGACTTTCTCAAATATGCCTGCACATTTGAGAGGGTCGCAGAAGCCATCAAAGTGCGCAGGCAGAGAGAGGGCACTTTACCTGGCTGTGACGGTGACTGTCTGGTGGGCTTTGGGGTCCACAAGAAGAGCACCTACAAGGAGCTCTATGAGGCTACGGACAGGGAGAGGAAAAGGTAATATGTGCTTCTGCTTGTTAATTGTATTGCTGTTTTGTATTTATTTTGCTCTTATCATGTACACTATTGTGTGTCTTATGTAGCTATGTGGAGTTCATCCGGAACAAGGGCACCAGTACAGGCAGCAAGATGGATGCCTTGAAGAAATACATCTTGCTGAGGGACCAGCAGAGGAAAAAGAAGTCATCTTCTGCATCCCAGCCTGCTGTCCCTCATCATTCACGTTTGGCTTCTCCTCCTCCCACCCAAAGATCCCATTCCCAGCCAGCCACAGCACACGGTGAGTTTTTAGATCTATAAGTGGTGTAATTCTATGAATGTTCTAATAGAATTATGAATAACATTGCAATTTTTCTGCCCTCAGAGCCAACAGATGAAGATCTGCTGGCTTCAGCCATGGAGGTGGAGCCACAGGGTGAGTGTTTTGTTTTGTTTTGTGTGTAAAAAAAAATAGAAAAGATACTCACCTGATCATATGTGATCACTTATACATGTACTAACATCGTATAGCATTGTTATGTAACCACAAATGTCTTCAAATTATTAAACCATTAGTACTAATTACAAAATTAAAATGATGTGTTCTTCACAGTACTTCCACCACCTCCAGCGCCGATCCGCTCACCTCGCTTAGAGCAAAGAGCCGCTCAAAGGCTGGTGTCAGCGGCTTCTGAGGTACAGTTTTTCACTCCAGAAGTATGCATATATATTATAAATGAATAATAATACATATATATATATATATATATATATATATATATATATATATATATATATATATGTGTGTGTTTTACTCATTTTATTTTTATTCATATATCAAATATTTTGTGTGTGTATAGGTTGTTCTCCCTGAGGCCTGGAAGCACTCCCTTCCAGAAGAACAGCACGAGTGGATCGGCCGCTCCCTCTTCCGGCGCTGACAGATCTGCAGATGTGGTGGTACCCTCCCCAGCCACGCCTGCAGTATCATCAGCCTCCCGCGTCGCCGGACGTGTTCTTCACCTGGCCGCTGTGTTTGTGGATGCCCTACAGGATGTGGTCCTACAAGCTGATCTGCAGCTCGCCAAACTGCAGACGGTCTGGTCAGCGACTGACATCATGTGGGCTCTACAAGACAGTGAGGCGGGTGCTGAATTTACACGGCTGGTATTTTCTGGCAACAGAATACCTGGAGTGTCAGCGCTGCCACAAGAAGCTGGCCGCGTGGTCGTACGACATCCTGGACCAGCTGGACCCGGCTCACCGCAGGATGTTCCCAGCCATCCTCACTTACCGGTGAGTCATGAAAAAATTATTCTTATTTCAGGTACAATTAACTACTAACATGTTACACCTTTAACTGGGCTGTAATGGTAATAATGTAACTTAAATTACTTTTAAAATTAATTACACGTCATTTGTACACAAAACAAGCACTATCTTGCTTTTGTAGTTTTTCAAAAGACACTCTGTCTGCCAGTCGAGGTTCTATATAAAATGTGTGAACGACCCACCCCCATTACTCTTTGCTTGACCTTTCAAAGGTGTCAAACTCAGAACAATAACATTCCAACACCTTGAGACACCTCGCCTGACAGCTGAGGTTTTTTTCAAGAGGTGTTAACGACCCCCCATTGAGCCTTGCTTGACCTTCTATAGATGTCAGACTTATAACAATATCAAAGTCTGTACAGTTTTTTATCTTTTTGTATGGGAAACATCACACATTTTTTATTTATAAAGAAAGAACACTTTAAAGGAACTTTAATAAACTTTGCCTTTGTCTGTGTGTTTCACAGGTTCTCTTGTGATATGCACGTGGCAAAGTTGATGAGGGAGCGCTCTCTCGGCAACAGCGTCTCTGCTATATCACAAGCTGTGTGAACTGCATAGTGAGGAATGGATGGAGAGGTCCCTGCGATACCTCTCTGTGTGTGACCGGTTCCGGGGTACCACCACACAGCCCATCTCACCTCCACCACCCATGCCGCCTGTACCGACCGCCAAGTGGCTCCTCTCTGTCCACGCAGAGGATATCCGGTCCCGGTATGGTGAGCTCAAAGCCAGGGTCACCTCTGTCTTTGGGTCCATCCTGAAGATGGACTCCACAAAAAAGGTAACACATTAATCAAATATTAGATATACCCAAATGTGTGTGTACAGGTGTATATAAATATTTTTTTTTGTTTATCTGTACTGAATTTTCTGTTTTTCAACAATAGGTGGCCAAAAAACTGGCGGGAGCCGCAGCTGGGACCGCAGCCTGGGTCACCAATGTGGGCAATGAGCACGGACAGGTCCTCATGTCTGTGCTCACCTCACATGAGGGTCAGGGACTGCTGCCCATGACAAATGGCCTGGTGAAAAGGTACGAGGTGGCTGGAGTCGCTCCCCCTACTCTCCTGTATGTGGACAGAGACTGCTGCTCTTCTGTGGGCACCTCCAGAGCAGGTGCCATGTTCAGCGGCTGGAGAGACATGGTGGTCCGTCTTGATGTGTGGCACTTCATGCGGCGCTTCGCCGCAGGTCTGCACACTGACAGCCACCCACTCTACGGTCTGTTCATGGCAAAGCTGTCCACATGCATTTTTGTCTGGGATGAGGGAGATGTGTCTCTGCTGAGGGAGGCAAAAATGCGGGAGCTGGAGCAACAGCAGGCCATCAGAGGCCTCACTGATGACCAGCTAACCAGCATGCTCACCTCCAGACAGTAGGCGCTGCACTGTCGCCGCTGCACACGTGGCGTGGAGGAGACGGAGCAGCTGATTGGTGCGTTGCTGGGGGCCTTCATGGACGCCAGGGAAACCATGGGCATCCCCTTGGTGGACCAGGAGAGGATGGACGTCATCTGGGACACCCAAAGACGCCACCTTCCCGCCACCTTCCCCGCCACCATCCCCCCCGGTGTGCAGCTGTACACCCAGACAGGAAGTATGACAAAGGGAGGGATAATACTTCCTGTCTACCGCTGTGCTCGGGGTTCCACTTCCCTGGAGTCCTTTCATAACCACCTCAACCGCTTCATACCCGGTAAGATTACACACAATCACCTCGAATGTGTTTTTTTTTGTGTGATGTGATGGTCTGTTTCATCTCTTTTGTAATTATAAATTAATGTTAATGTTTGTTTGTTTTTTAATCAGGAACAAGCGCTAACCTGGAAAATTTCCAGGCTTATCTGCTTGAGGGTTTGGAGCGGTGGAACGAGGACCGCGCTGCGGCTGCTGCTGCTACCGTCACGGACGAGGCCCCGTCGTCCCTGCGCTGCTACAGTGCCTCGCTCCAGCACAGCCTCAGTGAGCTCAGTCAGCGTCTTCTTGGCTGTAGTCTTGTACAAGACTATTCAAAGCCAGGACAGTACACGGGTATGTGTCTATAATGCCATGCTTTGTTGTTTTCTTTGTAATGCACAGGTGTCTGTTTTAAAACCTTGTTTTCTATTTCATTTTATTTCGTCAGGTGAGCTCATCGGGGTGGAGTACCTGTGCTCGCAGCAGTCCTGGGAGTTCAGGGAGAACTTTGGGCGGGACCCAGATGCTCCGGACAGAATCCCAGGCGACTTGGGGGAGGCAGAGGATGAGGGATTTGGGGATGAGGCAGTGGAGCAGGACCACACCATCTCCCCTCTTTCCTTAGTGTCCACCCAGGAAGCTGTACGCTCGTCTCGGGATTCAGCATCGCCCTCTCAGTCCTCCCAGGACCTGCCACCTGAGTCCCAGGCAGATGTATGTATGCATGCAGGCAGGCCATGTCATCATGTGTTGGACTTTTTTTTTATCCATCCACTAATTTCTTCTTTTTTTTTGTTTAGGTGTGCAGAGGACCAGACGGGACACCAGGTTTTGATAGAGTGGTGGACCTGGCCAGTTACCTCGTCGAGCTGAGAGAAAAGCCTTGTGTCTCAGATAGGGAAGCCAATGACATTGTTCGGCTGTGGGACAGACTGCCGGACAGTGACAAAAAACGTGTTTCCTATCCGCCGAGACACAAGGACAGACTCTTACAAGGCAGGTTCAAGGCCACCCACTCCAAAACCTCAACCTGCCATGGAAAGGAGAGCCTGAAGCGGTAAGTTAAATAGTTGCATACAGAGCTTTAATAATATAAATGACTATATGCTTTATAATTCCCTATTTTATTTTACAGGTGTGTGCTGGGGCAGGGGTCGGGTCCTGCCCAGTGGCCCAATATTAGTCGAATTGTAGAGGCAGTATGTCTGGAGCTCTGCTCCATTCATCCAGCGGGGAAGGTGAAGTGGGGTGTTTCACTGAACCGCTGGGCTGCCGTTCTGCACGACTACCAGGCCATACGGAGGCTGGTGGGGGAACTGCCCAGCTCTGAGGGGACGGGCAAATATTCAGCTGTTCGAAGTCAATCAGCGGACGCTTTCTGTCTGGTAAGTCAAAAGCCAGCTATGAAAGGGATTTTACTGTTCTTATATTCTGTTCATCCGTATTAATTGTGCCATTTTTAACAGGTACAACAACTACAGGAAGAAGCTGGAAGCAGACGTGCTGGCTCTGAGTGTGCCCTTGCCTCAGATAAGCATGGTGTCTCACACCCTTCTTCCTGTAGCCAAGCAGAAGGTGTCAGTGCCCTCGGCAGCTCAATCAGCACTTCCACCTTTCCCCTTTGTTGTAAACCCTGACCTGTCAGGTCAGGCCGTACGGCGAGGGCAGCGCCATCCTCCCCCCACATCAGCAACCGCACTCTCCGCTCCACCGTCAGCATCCCTTTCTGCTCCACCGTCAGCATCCGTATCTGCTCCACCGTCAGCATCCCTTTCTGTTCCACCGTCAGCATCTGTCTCTACTCCACCGCCAGCATCCCTTTCTGCTCCTTCGCCAGCATCCCTCTCTACACCTTTGAGTAGAACAACTTTGTGGAGGAAGAGGAAGGCTGAGGAGTTTTTAGCCCAGAAACAAGGGCTGCCCCCTCCACAGCAATATGTTCGAAAACAGTACACATGCAGTCGATGTGGGCAGCTCAGAAAAAAAGAGTTTGGGCACACCAGGGTGGGCAGCTACTTCTTCTGTGCTACAGCAGAGGGAAAGACTGTGGAAGAGTGGCTGCAGGAGAAGAAAAATGAAGAAAATCCTTAATTGTAAATAACTGATTATTTGTAAATATCTTTTGTTTTAAATAACTTTATTTGTAAATATCCTTTGTTGTAAATAATACAAATATCCTTCATTGTAAATAACAATTTATTTGTAAATATCCTTCGTTGTAAATTACAATTTATTTGTAAATATCCTTCGTTGTAAATAATTTATTTGTAAATATCCTTCATCGTAAATAACAATTTATTTGTAAATATCCTTAATTTTTAAATAACAATTTATTTTTAAATATCCTTCGTTGTAAATAACAGAAATATCCTTCGTTGTAAATGACAATTTATTTGTAAATATCCTTCATTGTAAATAACTATTTATTTGTAAATATCCTTTGTTGTAAATAACTATGTATATGTAAATATTTTAAATGTCATTTGTTTATTTCTATTAAGAAATTGTTCACATTTAATAAAAAACATGTAATTATTCCAATATGATTGTTCTTTATTTCAAAAGGTTTAAATGCTTACATAACGGTTATATAAATTGTCATTATAATATAAGAACATTTAATGACTGTTCTTCTATTTGAGAACATTTATTTGCCTCATAAATGTAATGTTAATATTTCAAACCCTTATTTAAGGTTTATCTGCCTTCATGAAAGTCATGTAAATTTGGCTAAATTCTTCTTTTTTTTCTTTTCTTTTGCACATTTATTTGCCCTCATAAAAACCATGAAACAGATCTTTATTTCAGAATCTCCCTTTACAAAGTTCATATTAATATATTTTAGAACACTTATTTGCTCTCATAATGGTCATTAAACAGTCATAAACTACTTCTTTATTTTAGAAAGTTAATTTGCCTTCACAAAGGCCATGCTAACAGTCCTAAATTACTTTTCATTATTTTAGAACCAATTTTGTGTTCATTAAGTTCATGTTAATCGTCTTACCCATTTATTTTATTTGTGAAGCTTTTGATTTATTTAAATTATTCATTAGCATTCTAATGTTTCCCTAAATACATCTCAGAGTCAAACACAGTCTGGGTTTTTATTTTTATTTTTTATTCAATAGTGCACACTGGAACTATAAAAAATAAATGTAAACAAAATGCAAATATTAAAACAGAACAAATTAACAGTAGAAAGAGTGCAAAAAAGTTAACAAAGGTAATAAAAGATTTATTAAATAGATATATAAAGGATAGAAAATAGATGAATGCAAACAAAATACCAAATACAAATGTTAAAATAAATTTTCAACAGAACAAATTAACAAAAACAAAGCAAAGATGATAAATTGAAGACATTTTACTCAATAGGAGTAAGTGTCCGTTGCTCTGCCAGCCAAAGTTCCACACTTTTGCCCTCGTAGGAGCTACAAAAGGCTTTTCCAGCATACCGCGAGTGTCCAAACTCCTTCGTCTTGGGTTGCTGGCACAGACTGCAAGTTATAGGTGTGCACTTTTTTGGCCTTTTCTGGGGCAGGCCTAGAGAAATGGCCTCTTCTTTCTTCTTTCTCCTCCAGGCCGTTGTCCTGGGCACATCACTAGCATTGTCCGCAGCCGCAATCCTTTTCTGCTCAGACAGCCATTGAGAGGCTGTCTTGCCAGCAGAAGTGCCACAGAAGCTTTTCCCACGGAAGAAGCTGTGCCCAAACTCCAAACGCTTGGGCTTCCCACACAGCCTGCAGGGAAACCCTCTTGGATCCCTTCTCCTGGCGGTGGCCTTGCCCTGCTTTAAGGCCTTAAGGTCTTCTTTTGCCCTCTTCTTCCTTCTCCAGGCTGTGGCCCTGGGCACCCGTTTAAGGGCCGCCTCAGCCACAGCTGATGGAGGAGGGAGCACAGCCAGCGAAGCGCATGGAGGAACTGTAAAGACAAAAAAAAAGTTATTTTAGACATTTGTTGCATTTGATATGATTTCATTCTTTTACATTGATGTATAGTTTAAAGATCTTACCCGACACTTTCAGTCGTTTCATCTGTGGAGGCCACTGCTTGCTTGTGGATTTAGGAGATCCATCCAGGGTCTCCCTGAAAAGTCTCCTTCTTTCTCTTTCCTCCAAAGAAATTATTGGAGGCCAGTAGGGCTTGGAGAACTTCAGCAAACGCTTCTCCTTCTCTGCCTTGCTGACACGCATGACAGTGTTTGCCAAGTCTGCTTCAAGTCTCTGGCGAAGCTTCTCCCTCCGTAACTGCTCTTGTCTGGGGAGGACTGGAGGCCATCCTGATCTTCGGGGCATTTTTTCAATGATTCCAGGATATTGAATCAAACTGGTCAACATATCACACAGTGGGGCCCCAACATTTATACTCAGGTGAATGCGTGTGGCCCAGGTGTGCAGGGGGCCTACAGAGAAGATTGGCCTGGATCTTCTGCAATGGCCTGTTCTCCATGTTCTCTGGTAATTCTCACAATCCTTTCCACTGCTAAGAAAAGGGAGTTCCATCTTGTTGCATTTGGCCTCAAGAGCTGGAGTTTGCAAGTCTCCTCAATGATCTCTGCTGCTGTGGTGGATCTTGCACGTGGATTCCACAGACTCCAGCACTTTGAGAATGTTGGGCGTGAGACCCTTTTGTAAGCCGTGTTAATATTTGCCTCCTCAACATCAGTTGTTGACACCAAGTTGAGAAGGTGGCAGGCGCAGCGATGTTGTTTCGGAAGCTGATATTCCAGGCAGTCGTCCTCATCCAGTATGGCTCCAGCTTCAACAAACTCAATGCTCTCAGTGCTATCCTGCTCTTCATCATCACCACCATCATCATCTCCATCATCACCACTCTCTGCTGCTAAATTGTTATTTTCATCAGTCTGACCATAAACCCTAAAAGCTTTTACGAAATTTGAGCCATTGTCAGTTGTGGTGCGGGTAATCTTTTCACGGATATTAAATTCACTGTGGATATCGTTCAGAGCACTGGCAAGGACAGCAAAAGTATGTGAACCTTTAAGCTGTCTGCAGGCTAGGGCAGCGCAACATCTCGTCATAGTCTGGGGGTCTATCCAATGTGCTGTGACACCAGGGCCGGAGTGGGACTCATTTTCAGCCCTGGAGTTTCATGCCTTAGACCGGCCCACTTTAGTTCCCGTCTGACTATATTAAAATAATGTAATTGAAACCTCAGTATAGCTATAAGTCTGCAATAGTGCAGTGTTCTGTACAGCCTTGTCATTCATTGTATTTAAAAAAAAAAAAAAAATTCTATTCAGTGCAATAGCCGTATACAGGGTTTTATAAATACAGAGGTCCAAAAAGTGATCTTGCTGGGGGTTCGGGGGCATATGTCCACCCAGACAAGTGAAGTAATACAAACAGTGAAAAGTCCCAGTGCTGATATGGGGAAATATAAACACATTCGAGGTATACAAACATCTAAATTTATACAATAACAATAGCAACATAATTAGCCTATATATATAGGTGATTGTGTTGTTAAATTGAGCTTATTTTTACACTGATGATCATCATTGGCAAAGAACATATGTCTGTGTTAAATAGGAATCCATTGTAATAAAGTTATTCTTATTCTGGGCAGTAGCCTATGCAATATAGGCTATTCCTCTACCTGCTCTCATTTCTCATCTCCATCTTCTCTCATTCTTCTTCTCTCTGCAGTCTCTTTATCTTATAGGTTACCTGTAAATCTCCCATTCCCGAAGCTGAGTTTTGATTGATACAGTCTTCACAAACGGATTATTTCTTTCGGTCGTTTAAAACTTCTTTCGTAATTAAAACAGCTGTTTAGTTTAGCCACATGCATCTCGTGAAGCGTCGCGTTGTGATTCGCGCGCGGCCGCGGCTCGCGCTTCTGTGAACATAAATCCCGCTTGCTTTGATCGGTCATCTCAAACATTTTGCCATTGCCGACGAGCGGTGTTTGAATACTGAAGCAGCTCAGATTATGAGGTCGGTTATCGTCGCGATATGCAAATCATTGCAGCACCAAATTAGAGTTAGTTAATATTAGGCAATTATTTCACAACGTTCATTATAAGCTGTGACTGGAGCCAATATAAAGCATTCAACCCAGTGCCACAACACCGGCCCTCCTGGCCAATAAAACAGACCGGCCCACCGGGAATTCTCCCGGTGCTCCCGATTAGCCAATCCGGGCCTGTGTGACACCTATGAATCCACGCCTGTAAGCTGTCCAGCAGTCAGTTGTAGTGGCAATGAACTGAAGTTCACTTAGAGCGGTTTTCAGATTGTTTTTCATTTCCAGGGAAGCCTTTTCTACTTTGTTCACAACAGTGTTGCCTGAAATCACTTTAATATTGGGCTGGAGAAGATGTACAAGATCTATGAAACCCTGTTGCTCAACTACATTAGGTGGGTGAAGGCCTTGTATGACAAAATGGAGGACTGATTTATCCAAACTGGCCTGGGACACTCTTCTGGTTTCCCATAACTTAGCTTGCTTGGATGAGGGGCAATCATCTGGTTCTCTTTCTGACTTTCTTCTTAGGGCGTTTGAAGTGAAAGTTTTGTATCTCTCCAGATGATTAGGGTGTTTTCTCTGTGGAAGAATATGCATCATTGAATCATTTACAAAAACACACATTATCAACCTGATCCACTTTTTTTGTATATCTGGCTACATTTCTCCCAGTGCTTTCCAATTAGGACGGCCACCTTACCTCACACTTCTCATCTTGACAAAATTGTTCTCATCTTGACAAAATTGTAAAAAAAAAAAAAAATGCATTACGTTGGGTGAGGAAATGGAAAGAATAGGCATGACCTCAAAGCATTGAATTTAAACCGCATTGAAACCAACAGGGCCGCTCAAAACAAATGTGACAAAGGGCTGATATGAATAGCACCTAACCTAACACGTTTCTTGTGGGTACCACTGATACATACTAGGGGTGGAACAGTACACAGAAGTCACAGTTCGGTTCATAGCTCAGTTCAGACATCACGGTTCGGTACAATGGAGGGAAAAGCAAAACAAAAATGCAGAAAGCTTGTGCATGTCTCAGGCTGTACCACCAAAGAAAAATAAATTACTTAAGCCTTGTATTTTTTAAATAAGTTTTATTAATAAAGGCATAGAACCAGTTTATTTATAGTACACTGACAATAGTTTTATATAATTAGTTTATTAATTAAATTAATAAAAAGACCTTGAGATATGTAATTTTGTTCCTGAATGAATTGAAAGTTAATTTGCTACATTTCAGATTAATATATTTGTTTTCCTTAAAATTAATTAACAGTAACAAACACTTTGCAATTTGAATGATGCCCTGTATAACAAAATGACGGAGTATGTTCTTATGTTTCCACTGTTCGATCACGCCTCACACACGCATAAATATAAGTAAACACTTTGCGACTATCTGATCACGTCTCTCTCTCTCTCTCTCTCTCTCTCTCTCTCTCTCTCTCGGAGCTACAGATTAGGTGTCCCTAAAGAACCCCCGTATCTAACAGTAGGATGCACGCCACTGACTAGAACTACTACCAACGTTCTCGCCTGTGCTTTCAGACGCTTCGGACATTTCACCAGACATCATGCTCTTGCCAACTGAATCTCTTTCTATCAAAGATAGTATTTGTACTTCGTTACTTGACACAGGGCTGCCAACTCTCACGCATTCAGCATGAGACTCACGCAATTGAGCCAATTCTCACGCCACACCCCCGATTTCTCACGCTGAAGTGTCAACCCGGTCGGTCAAATGCCTGAAAGATAAGTTTATTTATAGATTTACCAGTTGAGCCATTCGTGATCGACTAGTTTTACCGCAAACTAGTTAAAATATCCTGTAATCTAGAGCGAGCGTGCATGCGAGACAGATGTGTTTTGAGCTCCTAAAGGCGCGGTCCTAACCGCGCACGCGCACGACGGCAGAGAGGTAAGCGAGCGAACGAGCTTGCGTGTCTTTCGCAACACAACACCCGCCCCCTGAACTTTGAACTAGTTCATGTAGAAAATTAACTTTCCCAACAAGTTGTGTCATATTGAACAGGGGATTTTTGTTGAATGAACAAATGATCTAAGTTTTATGTGTATTGTATACAAGCAATTGAGAAAAGGGTTAGTTTTGAAAAATGTGCATTTTGATCATTGGTTGTGAGTTTTGTGTCTAGAGTTGTGAAAAATGACATCAAGGTTCTGAAAATAGTAACAAAGTGATTGTAAAAAAACTATTACAATTAAAATGTGCCCAAAATGAACATAATCTATTGCGTTTATGACAAGATATTTTCCATGGAGGAACCATTTCAAAATTTAGAGGGGGGGGGGGGGGGGGGGTCAAGAACTGAACAAACAGGCTACATTGGTTCCAAATGCTGTAACTTTTGATTCCTTTATCCAATCACCACAAAATTTGATCCAGATGCAGCTCACATGTAGAGGGACTTCACCAAAAAAGAATTGTCCTCCTACCTTATTTCCCGAGTTATTCTATGTCAAATAAGAAAGATATGCAAAATCATAATAAAAATTATATTTATTTTTTGTCTTTTATCAGCGGTTTCTCAGCAGCAGAATGTCCAAAATGTAATGTAATTTATATTTTCAAAAAATTTGAAAAGTGTTCTATCAAACGATACCTACCTTTTGACTCTCCTTGCTAGAGTTTTGGAGTTATGAGTCTTTACTTTTATGTGTGAGACAAAACAACTTCAGGGCTTAACAGGTTAACTAATGCTGAACAGAGATGTTGTTCATGGTTAGTTCATGTTAACTAATGCATTAACTAATGTTAACTAATGGAACCTTACTGTAAAGTGTTACCAAGTTTATTAATACAATTACATAAATCGTTTCATTTATATATGACTGAAAAATATGAATCACATCCAGATTGTTAATTTGTTTATGTTAAAACTATGTAATCCAAATGGATGGAAATTTTATATGCAATTCAAATACATAAATCTTGTTTAGACAACTTTTTTTTTGTCCACCACTCTGTCTTAGTTAAGAAGCTAAAAGATGAAACCCATCATTAGAAGTGTTCTCCCAATGGTGGATGATGATTAACTAAACAACTTGATATCAGAATTGACTAGAATTGGTGTGAAACAGACAATGACTCAGATAGGAGACACACGGTTAGGGTGATTGTGGATTCCATCAGAGAGGTGTGTTTAAGTCCAACCAGGCGGCAATGTTCAGAAGTTGCAATCATCCAGAAGTATTCAAACAGTGTTATGGCGCTTTTCCACTACACAGTACCAGCTCGCCTCTGCTCGGCTCGGCTCGACTCGACTCGCCTTTGTTTGGT